GAGTAGTTGGCAAATACATATAATGTATTTACTGGCTAAGATTGCTGAGTGGAAATACCCATATAGCTGAAGACTGAGTTGATGAAAAATCACTGCTATTTGGGTGGGGGAGGTGATCCCAAAACATCAGGATAAATTTATAAGTGTGTCAAAAAAAGTGATTGATGGGACAGGAAGAACTGAACTTTGGCAAAGGAGCATAACCTGAAAAATAAAAAACTGCTTGACAATACCAGATCCTTAACCCTTTAGCATTCAATATGCTCAAACCCACCCCAAAATTATCAGGTCTCAAAGTCTCACTGTTTGAATGACTTTCTGCCTTATTTGCAATGATGTCACCATATAAAATGGCAGAGTATACATGGGCTGGGTTATGGCAGATTGAACATTGAGAATCGATATTTATGGGGTGGGTTTGCGTGAGTTGAATGTTAAATGTGTTAAAGACCCTGTACGAGAGGCATACATATTCAGGAGTTACTTTTTTTTTTTTATTTTTTAATTACACCATTTCATCCCAAGCAAGGCAATAAAGCCTCAAAGATAAGTTACAGAGTGTGAAAGAATATAAGAAAAGGAGAAACATTACAAAGTTAGCAAGAACAATAAAATACCAGGAATCAAGAAGACAAATGAAAGATTACTTGTGTGTGTGTGTGTGTGCGTGTGTGTGCAAATTGAATATATAGATTAAATTAGACAAAATGATTAAGGAACCAGTAGGAAAACCTTTTATAAATTCGACTTGTTTCACCATTTAGCGTCATCAGAAATCTTTTGGAATTGGACTTCCTCTCCAAATTTCTGAGGAAGCTAAGTGAATAGAAAAACATTTATAAAGATTTTACTTTTTTAATGTTTCATGCTGTACAAAGCTCAAGAGCCACTCAAGATAGAGGGTTACAGAACAAGAGGCACAATTTATGGGGATATGTGGGGGAAGATAACTCTAGATTGGAACAGGTTAAGATTATAATGATCAGGGAAGCATCCATTTGGTTCTAAAAAGCAGTGAATTGTGGAGAGAAAAGCTGCTTGAGTGGAACTTCCATCTCACTAATGGAATACAAAGGGAACAACCATGTTTCACGACAATGTGTGTAGCATAGTGGATCTTAGCCATGAAAGTTAGCACTAGTGGAACTAAAGAATGTAGATCATCTGAGCACTTTCCATGGAAATAGCAAC